AAACATGGGCTTTCAACAGACTTCCGAGAACTCGCAATGTTTCTACATCAGCTTTGAGAAACTCAGATATGTGTTCACCTTTTGCATGCACACCATGTGATGAACATCAAAAAAAGGGGCCATAAGAGGACACTTCTTAAAAATACATTCAAGTACCTTAACTATTAACAAACATGTATCCTATTTGTGTATCACTCAGCTGTAGATTCTCAAATCATATCTATATTGGTGCTGACACTGTCCTTCCTTCTGGAGGGTGGCTACTTTTGTTCCCCATGATCCCTGTGTGTGTTGTAAAGTAGCCACCGCTCCAAGCTTGCTCCTGTGATGCATTGTAGTCCATCACTAGAGTGAGCTTGAAGTGGGGTCGGCCCACGCAGCGGCATCATCCAATCATAGATCCTTTGACAGGATCTGTGATTGGAGAAGCCTACAAGTTCCATCAGCTACCGTGCCAGAGGGACGTGTAGTTCTAAATGTAATACAGGTACAGTGACGTCTATCCATTCTTCCTCTCGGGCTGAATGTCTGTACCGAGAATCTGCAGCAGCCAGAGCATCACACCCACTGATTGTGATTGCAATGCTTTACTGCAGGGTGTAGCCAAATCTCGGCCCTCCAGCTGTTGCCGGAACTACAAGTGCCATAAGCCATTGCAAGACTCTGCCAGCCACAGGCATGACTTCCAGAGGCAGATCCATGATTGGATTTGTAGCTTCATTGCAGCTTTTATTGGCTCCAATGCAAAAAATTATAAAAATAAATGTTATCTTTCATGAAGAAGCCTGCATTGATTATTTTCTTTATAAAAAGGTGGAATTTACTTTTAATTACTTTAAAGGACAAAGTAATATAGGGTGTAATATAATATAGAGTATAGCAGGGGTGCCCATTAGGTAGATCGCGATCTACCAGTAGATCGCAACGCAAACACTGGTAGATCACAATCGGCTCACTGACCTATGTCCTGTCCTCCCAGGGTGCTCGTGCGGCTGAATGTGTCAGACGCCGCAGATGGGAAGGAGAGAGGAGAGGAGACTTGGGAAGCTGCTGCAGTGGAGGTAAGAAAAGACAGACAAGAGAGAGAGCAGAGAAAGTGAGAAAAGAGACAGCAGAGAGAGAGAGAGAAGAGACAGCAGATAGAAACAGGGGAGAGAGAGAGAGTCGAGAGCGTGAGGAGAGAAGAGAGGGCCAGTTCACACCACAAAGTCTGCGTTCCAGAGTTTTCGGCCTCTAGAACGCATTGGAACGCAAGCCGGCCGACTCCCTGTGTTCAGGGGCGGGAGGGGGCGCGGCGGTGCATTGAAGTCAATGGCACCGCAGCCACGCCCCGTGCTCCCAGTGCGATCGCCCGTACCCTGAATGCAGGCACGTTTAATGCCCGTGTTCCGGTCCAGTGGGATCTGCAAAAATGCAGCATTTTTTCAGATCGCACTAGACTGGAACACAGGCACTAATGTGCCAGGATTCCGGGTGCGGGCGGTTGCACTGGGGGCGTGGCTGCTGTGCCATTGACTTCAATGCACTGCCACGCCCCCATCCCGCCCCTGATTGCAGGTGTTTTTTTGTTGGTAGATCTCATTGAGCTCGTCATTTGAAAAGTAGATCTCCAGACGAAAAATTGTGGGCGCCCCTGGAGTATAGGACATGCCAGTTGTATAGCGCATCTCCCTTTAGCAGAGGGCACCTTCCTAAGGCTTTTTGAAGACTATTGCCCCTCCATGCTTTCCCAGCAGTGTTTGATTTACACCAATGACTCCCCAATGACTCCAGAGCAGTCCTGGTGGGGTTTTATATAGCGACTGCACATTTAGCTTTTGTGGTTTATTTTCCTGAGAATATTTCATTTTCTTTTTCCCAAATGCACACAGTCAAGTTGCAGCCTTTTGAAATGCGCCCCGGGTTATACAGGTTTCGCGGATGACGTATTGAAGCCTCGATCTCCCCATCTGAGATGACACACAGACGCTTACAGTGTGACTGTGCCATTCCTGGGTGTCGGATAATAAAAGAACAGGAAGTGCTTACATTCCACGCTCCAGCATCTCATTATCCTTGGTGACCAATTCACCAAAGCACATTCATACAATCTGTTTATAATATCGCTACTTGTTTTCCTATTCTTACGGCAGCTTGTCACCCATCATATATTTAAATAGATTTCCTTATGAATCTGCTAATATTTTGCTGCCTCTATGGTGTACCAATGAACTTTACAGCCGGATTTCTCTGCAAACCGGGGGCGCCGGTATTGCTTTTTTCAGTGCCTCAAAATGCTTCAAAATTTTCACATCATCATGCCTCCAATGGGGAGAGTACTTCTGATGTGAAAAAGGGGGACTCTAATTTGAAGAGGGGCTCCTAGTGTGAGGAGGGCTCTTAATAAGAAGTTGGGTTCTTGATGTAAAGTGGAAATCTAATGTGGAAGGGGGATTCTCATGTGGAGGGGGGGACTCTGATGTGAAGCAGAATGTGAATCCGACATTTTTTTGAGCTTGCTTGGGGCAGACCCTTCTCCATGATGATTTCAAACCATACCTGGCCCCTTATTTTGGATAAGGGTCTGGTATGGATTTTGGAGGGACCACACATAATTTTTTTAAATATTTACGGTTTTTAAATTTTAGACTGGGGTGCCCGGAGATTTTGCATACTTTTTAAAGGGTGCCTTGACTTAAAAAACTTACTTTACTTACCCGATCCCCGCTTCCCTGGCAGTTGGTGCTAACCTCTTTCACCTATGCTCCGGCTTGTAGACTGTCCCTCTGTGTCCTCATTTATAATTAAGGGATATGGGCCCTGTGTTGTATGTGATGATGCCTGTGAGTGGGAGTCTTGGAGCCTGTGGGAGCCGAGATCAGGTAAGTAAAAGTCCTTTACACAGGTCCCCTAAACCAGGGTTTCTCAACTTTTCTGTATTACAATACTGGGGGGGCGCCGCACGGGACAAACGTTCCTTAACTAATCGATTATGAAAATAATCGTTAGCTGCAGCCCTAGTTCCGTGTACAGATGCCGGATCGCTTGTACATTAACAGCTATCGCCTCCTGTTAAAAGCCGCACCAAGAACACAGCTACTGCAGCAGTCGTGTTCTTGTTTTAACCACTTCTGCGGGCCGCCGTCTACAGACGTATTGCAGCCCGGAAGTGGTTAATGGATTACTGCACTGCTCTGATGTTCAGAAGAACCTCAGTGAATAAATAGATTTTTATAATGACCAGAATTACCTTTTCTGTTTCCTGGCCAGGACAGAGTCTTGCAATGTCACTTCTCTTTATTGGATATTTTTAGAGTCTGATCCCGAATTGTATCTATTTTGTTTTTGAAATGAGTGGCAATGTCTTGAGCAGTCAGCGAGTTATTAGGTGGTGGCGGTGGGGGACATAGTAGAGAGTTAAAAGTGGAAAAGAGTTGACGAGGTTTGGAAGAGAGTGTGTTAATGAGAGTGACAAAATAAGTCAAAGCACTGCGGTACTTTGACATTTATTCCGTCATGCAACGCTGTACTGAAACGTATTTTATGCATTTTTCGGGGACAGATGGAGCTTTCTTTTGGTGGTATTTAATCACCACTGGGGTTTTTATTTTTTACTATATTAAGGAAAAATTACTAATTTTTTTATTCAACTTTATTGTTATCACAATAACAATAACCCCCCTATGTGATAGCAAAGATATGTGACCAGTCCTCTGTAAGGAGACATTACCTAGGGACCCCCAAATAAGCTGATGAAGCAGAGATCTGCTTCATCAGCTTCTCTCCAGCGTCTGAGGCTGGAGAGTGACACAAGAATGCGGAAGTGATGGACAACGGCCGGCCGGGAGGCGGTTAAAGGAGTCAAAGGAGTTGCAAAGTCCCAGCATATCCTCTCCTGTTATAACATCAGCATTGCAATAGGAATACATACTGGAGATGTTTCTGATAAATACAATCAAAGTTCACATGAACAAATCCCTCTATGTAGTGAGTGCTGCTTTCTGTCTGCCCATCACTTTCAACAATTTCTTGGATTCCCAGTGTGCTTTGCGTCTCTTTCAATGCTGCTTGATGTGATCCAATTTCCATTTCTCAAGACTACACATATCCCTTCATGCATTGCTTCCAGCAAGCAACGATGATGTTACATTGTTCCTATGTTGAGTGGTATTTCAGAAGAGAAGGCTCCGTGATAGTGGTAGTCACAAGACTGAGTGACGTTATGTCCCTGCATTGAGGAAGTACATCCTATAAACATCTTCTTCAATAAGTAAGTTTACAAACTTCTAGATGGATCTGGTTATTAGGAGCGGGATATAAATTCAATATAGAAATACAGATTTATTTTTGGTTTCTGACCATAGATGCTCTAATATTCTCTACTGATCCTGACATAAAGGTCCTTTTTCAGGCACTTCCTGCTATAGGATGACAATGCTCTGCCCTGTCTCTCAATTGTGCCCCTAAGTTGTCACCCTGCCACATAGGCTTCTAATAGAGACAAGTGAGCATTTCAACACATATTACATAGATATGGTCCACTGTTGTCCCCATCAGGAAACCTGCCCTGAATGACAGGCAGCCATTGCTAAAGTAAGTGGCTGCAAAGAGGCAGCAGGAGCACTAGGATGCTCTAATAGCATCTAATGCTATTAGAAGATAATATTTATTATTATGATTATGAATAATCATAATAATAATAATAATATTTTATTATTTTTATTAGACCTTATTCAGTTAGAGTTAGTTCTATCATATAGAAATTAACCGATTTTCCTTTTTGGTGTTTCATTTGTCCAGTTTGTAGCACTCTTCTTCCTCTTTTTTTTTTCTTCTTCCCCTTATTTATATTGCAAGGACAAATTAGGAAGTTGAGGACTAAAGTTGTGTATTTGTAGCTGTTTATGTAAAAATGTTTGTGGTGTATGGCTGATTACTTTGGACGCCTTCTGTTTACATGACCAGAAATGGCACTGGTGTAAACCGCTCTCGGCTCCTTTGATAAGGTAATCGAGGAACACGTGCTTCTAGTATAATAATATTTGTTTAGGTGTTGATCTCCTCGGCCTTGTGTTACGGAGCCAAGCACACCACTCCATGTAGAATTCTGAGACAATAAAACTCCTGTTAGAGTGTATGTGTATTCATGAACGCCTCTCGTATGCTCCCTTTTGTTCTGTTAAAATGATATGAATGTCGAGGGGTTTTTAAGCTATTTCAAATGCTGAATAAATAATTTACATTTTTGGATGCTGCTTCTTGATGTTTAAAAGTTTTACGTTCCTGTAGAATTAGCTAGTCCCCTGAACACGATATCCTGTTGTAGGGTGTCTCCTTTCCCTTTCAGTGTCCTATGGAGTCACCCTTGTGTGTGCTAGTAAGTAAGCTGTGTGTCCACATGCACACAGACACAGCAAGGCAGCCCCCCCCCCCCCGCTCTCTGCTTTCTGCTCTCCCCCAGCAGATGGACGGCTACTGTAGATTGCTTGGTCCCTTGTGATCTTGTACTGGGCTGGAAGTTCAGGGAAGATGAGCTAAGAGAGTTGGAGCTGTTCTGAAACAAAATGACTGTAAGTGCTTGGCCAAAAAGATAACATCTTTACATCATTGAATAAAAGTTTAAGAGTTCAATACTACGCTTTAAAATATGCCATTGGAAGGCTCTGTTTAAGAAGTGTAAAAATTACCAGTTGATCCTGCCAGAAATTCAGTGCTGTTTACACACACACACACACTGTGTGTATGTATGTGTGTATGTATGTGTGTATGTATGTATATAATATATATTAGGGCTGGTAATGATTACAATTCTCGTGTTCGATTAATCAAAAATTTTTTAAATCGATTGATTAATTTTTTAAAATAATTATAACGTACATACAGATCCAACTACATTGGCCTATACACATACAGCAGTGAAGTAATAAAATGAACTAGGATCACACTAATCCTAGTTCACTCCACGAGATGATGAAAGGTGATGCGAGGAATCTGACACTGCACTGTTGCCCTTCTGTGGTCTTGTACCAGTCTTGCCACTCTCCGTTCTGCCCTAACATTGACTAGTCGCTGACGGCCACAATTCGCACGTTCAGACCCAGATTTTCGGCTGGCAGTCCAGTCTTTAAACATTTTAACAACAGCTGCTCTTGAACATTTAACAAATTCTGCTGTTTTGCTGATACTCGCGCCATGGCTCCGAGCGCCAACAATCATCCCACGTTCAAAGGCTGTTAAATCGCGTTGTTTACCCCGTATCTTCAGAAACAAATCACTTCTACTGTCGTGGTAAACAACCTGCTTCCCTATTTATAATGGTCTGGCCCTCTAGCAACTCCAGCATGAAATTATAGCTAATTTGCCTACAAACGTCAGGTGGTCATAATAATCTGGCCACTCAGTGTATAAATATCACGTCACTGTTTCTTTCATAGGAGTGACTTTCATATCTCTGATTGCTGTACTTATGAAGAAGAACAGTATCATGCATCTATTTTTCAAAAGTCAGATGTACACACTTGTGGGATATCTGTTTTTTTTTCTAAACCTGAAATGTCAAACTATATCAGACTTTAAAGGGAACCTGTCATGTTTGGGCATGTGGGAGGATTTAGGGTTAACTGCTCATATATGCCCAGGGGACAGGAAAAGCTCTTTTACTTACCTGATCCCCTCTCAACCAGCGGCTGATGCTTTGCTCTTCTCCCCGCTCTGCTGCAGCTGTGGAACATTTCTCAGCGTCCTCAGGTCTGATGCAGGTCTATGGACCCTGAATGGGACTTGATGACATCAGAGGTCCGTAGACCACCGGAGTGAACACTAAAAGAAGTTGCAGGGACTGGCCTAGCCATGCATATAAACTCCATGCAGATAGTCTGAGAGGTGGGGTTTGAACCCTGGATTTAGATCATTGAGCCTCTACACTCCTGTTGTTCAAAACCTGTACATGTGGGATATTATCTGTTCAGAATTAGTGATGTGATGTTATTGAAATGTGGCCACATGAAATGCGGATAAATTGTTCACCGCTTTTATGTTCAATTATGTTTATTTGACTCTCTTGTCATTTGTCTTGCACTGTTATTATTTAGGAAAACATTCTCCTAGAAAGCCTGCAGATGTGAAAAGTCATCTGGACGCCATGCTCCCTCAATTAGGAAAGCAGCGTTCATTTCCTGGATTAGCTCATAAAAACTTGCCTCACTGTGAACTGTGGGCATGTTCAATGGGAGCCACCCATCGAGTGACCAGGATTGTAATGAAGAACCTCTTTGCAGCAGGGCGGCTCTAATTTCAAACCGGCAGAGCTATAGCCAAGGACACACAATACCAAGTGCCTAAGAGCAAGGTTCATGGCATCAGTACTGGAGGGAGCCTATAGCAGAATTTTCTCCAGAAATGTTATATATTCAAGTCCTTTCTCTTACTCTTTAGCCATCCCTTCAAGAAGGTTAGTAAAGCTTTAAAGCCCAACTCCAGCCAAAACCTTTTAAGGAACCTATGCTTTAAGTGAACTTAAACAAAACAAGTGTCCGCTCAATCATACTAGATCGCCTCAGAGTTTAAATGAGGCATAGGACTCTCTCCATACTTGACCACTAGTGGTTGGTGATTGTTGCCGCAGGCACCAAGTGCCGCATCATGGGAGGAAAGGATGGCACAGGGACCCAGTGCTGCATCATGGGAAGAAGGGAGAGCACAGGGACCCAGTGCTGCATCATGGGAGGAAGGGATGGCACAGGAACCCAGTGCTGCATCATGGGAGGAAGACATGGCAAAGGGACCCAGTGTTGTATCATGGGGGGAAGGCATGGCGCAGGGACCCAGTGTTGTATCATGGGAGGAAGACATGGTGCAGGGACCCAGTGCTGCATCATGAGAGGAAGACATGGCACAGAGACCCAGTGCTGCATCATGGAGGAAGTCATGGCGCAGGGACCCAGTGTTGTATCATGGGGGGAAGGCATGGCGCAGGGACCCAGTGTTGTATCCCGGGGGGAAGGCATGGCGCAGGGACCCAGTGTTGCATCGTGGGAGGAAGACATGGCGCAGAGACCCACTGTTGCATCATGGGAGGAAGACATGGCACAGGGACCCAGTGCTGCATCATGGAAGAAGTCATGGCGCAGGGACCCAGTGTTGTATCATGGGGGAAGGCATGTCGCAGGGACCCAGTGCTGCATCATGGGAGGAAGACATGGCACAGGAAACCAGTGCTGCATCATCGGAGCAAGGTATGGCACAGGGACCCAGTGCTGCATCATGGAGGAAGGCATGGTGCAGGGACCAAGTGCTGCATCATGGGAGGAAGGGAATAGAGCTGCATGCCCGCCCTACCTTAGTGGTGGTTATTAGACCCCATTCAGTTAAATGTGTATTTAATCATGCATAAACATGGCATTAAAGTGAATGAAAAGTGAATAAGAGTAATCCATAGTAACTGACCATTGGTTCATGCTAAGTTACTATTTATCAAAGTTACATAGTTACATAGTATTTGAGGTTGAATAAAGACATTAGTCCATCAAGTCCAACCTATTAGGATCTCATTCTAGGAGTACCCGTACCCCTGTATATTGCGGTCCCTTAAAAAATCATCCAAAAGTTTCTTGAACAATTCCACGTTTTTTGCTGAAATCACCGCCTGCGGCAGTGAGTTCCAGACCCTAACCGCTCTAACTGTGAAGAACCCCCTTCGCCCCTTGTGCTGGAATTTTTTTTTCCACCAATTTTAGGTGGTGGCCTCTAGTTTTTGTAACGCAGTTAATTTTAAATAGTTTATCGCCAATGTTGTTATCACCATTGAACATTTTGTACATGGAAATCATATCCCCCCTTAATCTCCTCACCTCTAATGTGAACATGTTTAAATTTAGTAGCCTCGTCTCGTAGCTCTGGTCCTCCATACCCCTAATTAGTTTGGTTGCCCTCCGCTGGACTTTTTCCAACTCAAGGACATCTTTTCTTAGTACTGGTGACCAGAACTGGACCGCGTACTCAAGATGAGGTCGAACCAATGATCTATAAAGTGGCAAAATTATAGACTCGTCCCTACAATAGATACCCTTTTTGATGCAGGACAAAACCCTGCTAGCTTTGTTTACAGCAGCCTGGCACTGCAAACTACCTTTCAGTTTGTGGTCTACAATGACCCCCAAATCCTTCTCCATTTCTGACTTCCCCAGCGGCATACCCATAATTGTATAACCCATTTGTTTATTTTTAATTCCAAAGTGCATTACTTTGCATTTATCGACATTAAACCTCATCTGCCACATTAATTTCATATATAATGCTGTAGTATGTTAACCTACAAAAAAGCTCATAGTGTTCAGGCATATAGTGCTTTGTGGTTTCAATAACAGGCATACCAATTCTGATTCAAACAGTGTTGACTGTGGAAATCATTTTAAAATGTTAAAGCTGACCCCCAGGCAGATATTTGACTTGATTTGCAAATATACTGAAAAGTAGCTTGCTGATAGGAGAAGAGGGCATATCTATGACCTCATCTGTCTGCTGCTCCTTCAGTGCCCAATCACAGGCTGGGGGCGGGGAGGTGTCAGTAGTGTATTTCTTACCTGGAACAGATAAAGTGGAGTCATTCCCTTGGCTGAGCTGCATGACAGAGCTGTGTAAATCTCAGGAGTCAATGGATAGAAATTTAAATCCCTTGGCAGGTAAAACTTCACTCATATGTGCTTCATCTTTGTATGTAGATGTTTACCTTTTATTCAGCTTTTACTCTATTATTATTATACTGTGTCAGTATAGTAAGTGGTCAGACAAGGCATAGACGTTCTGTTATTTATGTTGATTGTTTGTATACATTGTATACCTCTCTGTAGTCAGAAAAGTTTGTTTTGGCAGAATATCTTTTTATTTTATAAACATTACATATAATAGAATATGATTGTTTCTGGATATTTGGAGCTTGGTTTATTTAAGTCCCAGGATGCTATTTTCCCTGGATGGAGTGCCATATCTCAGTCTCTTTCCCGGCCATACACGGGTCATACCATCAGGCAAAATAAACAACAACGGCAACATCCTACCTAGATTATTGATAACCTATTACTGATTGGAATGGCAGATATCTGTGATGATGATTGTTGTTGTATTTTAAAAAAATGATTCTCTGCAGACGATTGGTATTGAGAAATTTTATTAAAGCAATGCAGTGGAGTACAGTGAGCGAGTGTTGTCACCCTAATACAGGAAGTGGTTCCCTGGCAGGACTGATAAGCTGCAATACATTACATGTTATTTTGTGGTTTAGAATCACTATACATTTTTGTACAGTTCCAGGTCTTGATTTGTTTCCAGTTAAACTGAACGCTTAGTTCTTAAGTGAATCAGACCATGGACATTCAAGTATATTCATATTATTAACAAGTAGTAAATACGCTTTATAATAGGCCCTCACTGACCTCTGTAGCTCCAGGTACTGTGAAGCAATTTATCCTCAAAGATCACAAGGAAAGCACTAAAGGGCTATACTCAGCAGCTCAGCTCTCTCTGCTTCCCCTTCTCAGCAGTGACCCAGCAGCTCACCCTGCTCCTCCCCCAGCAGCTTACCCTGCTCCTCCCACAGCAGCTCACCCTGCTCCCTCTTCTCAGCAGTGACCCCGCAGCTCACACTACTCTTCCCCCAGCAGCTCACCCTACTCTTCCCCCAGCAGCTCACCCTGCTCTTCCCCTAGCAGCTCACTCTGCTCCCCCTTCTCAGCAGTGACTCAGCAGCTCACCCTGCTCCTTCTCCAGCATCTCACCC